CACAAGCGTTCATAGTGCCTTCTACTTCAGATGAGCAACAAAGCAAGCAGAAACTAAAAGGGAAAGGTCATATATTTTGTGCATGCCTGAGAAATGACACTGTTTGTACGATGACGGCAACAGATTTTTCTGGTTTTCTTCTTAAAAATGTATTTGCTCAAGCGGGAGTCAAAAACTTTGCAAGACAACATTGTTTTGAAAAACATGGAAAGGACATCCATACGGATACACAAGGGCATAAACTGACGTAAGTACGAAGCAGCCCCCTAACCAATCAAGGTTAAAGAAAAACTAGCAAAGTGACATGCACATCCTTCCAGTCTGCACTACTTTGGCTTAACTGTTCAGTCACGATTGCTCTCAGACACATGTTGTTTCATGGTTTGCCCCCACAACCCTCGCTCTGCCCAAGTGAGACCTCTCACATTCCAGCTTCATGTGCCACCTCTTTCACTTGCCCATCTAATGTAGGAGCCTGGGAGGAACCAACGTAGTTGCTTTGTTCATCTGGAGTCGCATGAACCATGCCTTTCACCAAAAATGTGTAAAATTTAGCAGTTTTAATACGATGCTTATACACATGGCACGTTCGGACATTCCCAGAGGTTCCTTGAACATGTGTTGTGGATGAGCAGAGATAGGGCCAAAAGCACCACAGGAGGCTCAAATCAAGCCACAGAAGCCCATATCTGTGAGTCTAAGGGTAACACTGCTCACATTCATGTAGAGACAGGTGGTTTTCTGTTGCAGTTTGGAGCCCCTGAGTAGATGGCCTGGCTGTGGTTTTTGCTGCACTTCAAAAAAAAAAAAAAAAAAAAAAAAAAAAAAAAGGGAAAGACTTCCAGAAGGCATAAACCTGCTGAGAAGGCAGTGAAAAGTGATTTATTCACAAACTTTCTATCCCCGCACCTGAAGAAATGGGGACAGTTCTTTGACTAAATCCCATCAGCACGTATCTATAACACACAGCTTGCACACATGCATATCCATTCAGGAGCGAGAGTAGCTGGGAAAGACTGAAATTACCTTTGATTTGTTAGCATGTCACTGATGGGGAAGAACTACACAGGCATATCTTAGAACAAAAAAAAAAAAAAAAAAAAAAAAAGGGATATGGGCAAGTTGTCTAGAGGCCACATCGAGGTCATTTGTCAAATCCTGACCTTCCTCCAGCAATCAAACTGTGCCCATCCAGTGTGAAGGCTCTTTGCATCCTTCCGTAGGATGAACTGTGTGACACAAATCCACCCCCCTCTTCTCCACTTGGAAAAGGGAGGCTCCGGTTTTCACAGGGAACACATTCCTGCCCACAACAACCAAACGTATATATACAATCAATCTCCAGGTTTTGTTATAAACTTATCAAGATAGGAAATTGTTCTTTTAAGTTACAAGAGCAAAAAGATACTTCACTGCAGGTTACTAAAAACTTTGGTCTTGTTACATGAATTTTGGATAATAATGATTCAAATGCTTTTTTTTTTTATTATTTTCTAAACTTTTCCAGACTGAAAATGCAACTTTGCAAGCTATTATACCTTCTCCTCCAATATGGAGATGAGGTACTGTACATATTTTCTGCCCCTTGACTGTTCTTTGCCATTTTCTTAAGCTGTAAAGCAGCCTGTATATCTGCCATACTCTCTGGTGTGGAAGGATAGTGTCCCCTGCACCCAAGAAGAAACAACAGATTTTTACAGTGCTCTGCACAGCACAAGGGTGCTTTCAATCAGACTTCTCAGAATTGCACTCATTTACAGCTTATTAACTCAATACTCAACAAAAGTCAGTGTATAATTATATACATACACTCTAGCAGCAAGAAAAAAAGTAATCTATGTTTATATTCAAATCACAAATTTCTTTTCCCGTTCTTTATAAGAAAAAAAAATCAAATGGCATTCTGAACACACAAGAAAGGAAGGAACATCTCTCATTTACCATCTGTTCTGCTTTAAATAGTCCATTGTTTAGTAATGACAGCAATAGATATGCTGTCTTTTAGCAAAAAAAACCCCAACAAACCAACAACAAAAACCCAACCCAAGCCTCATTATAAATCAAAACATAATTCCTTTTGGACATTTAAGGCTTGTGGGACAATGTGCAATAAAATCTGCTGTAATTATTAATTGTATACTTGCATTACGAATCATGCAAGTGTATGAATATTTCTATTACACACAAAACAGAGCTGTATTTGTATATTTTGAAATGTAAACTCAGTTTCTTTTCCAAGAAAGAATAACCAGATCTTAATGAAAATAACTCAGCACTGAGGAGGAAGTAGTTTGTAGGCATTACTCATGTTTTCAAGACATGAACAGCAATTCCCTTGAATGCTTTGGACTGCTAGGAAAAAAAAAAAAAAGTTAATCCAGAAGCGGCCAGATTCCTGAGAAACAGAACATGAGAGATTACCACCACTGTGCCACCCAGCTCCCTTTCGCACCTTAATCCATGTTTCTCAACCATCAGAAAGATGCCTCTCTCCTTTTGCTGTAATCAAGGGTTTCTTAGAAGAATAATATACCTATACAAACAAACCATCTTTCATTTTCCTTGTAGTGACTAACAACATGAATCGTCAGTCAGAGCTGTGGCTCTTAGACTTGCCCCCCCATATGTAAACACAGCAGAAAGTGGTCTGCTCAGTTCCTAGATGAAGCAACTGTAGTTTCCCAACCTGAGCAGCGATCATCATGTTTTGACAGTTATTGCTACAGAGGCTGGTTAGTCACGTTGACCTAGCCAGAACTGCATCAGCCCAGTGGCACTCCTACTGGGGCCTGCTGAAGACAGCCAGTTAACTCCTTCAGGGGCGATGGTTGTTGCTCCTGACCCCGCTGTACTTTTGCTGTTACCTGTTGTCAGGCGTTGGCATACAGCCCTGCGTGCCTGGGGTGGGAGGACCTGAACGTGGCTGTAGGATGACCACACCAGCAACGTCCAGCAGTCACCCACACTCTCATCCCCTCTACTCGCATCTGCTTGAAAGATGCACTGGTATCCCACATCAGCAAACGTTATTTCACAGCTCTGTGGCTTTGGAGGCAGCGATGCTCAGGGCACTCTGCGCCGTTAATCCACAATGCAGAACCAAGGCTCTTCTCATTTTCACAGCCAGAGAGCTTTTCAGTTTAGCGTTCAGGGATGAGCCTTTTCCTCACTGGATTCTCAATGAAGCAATACGCGGACTTGCCAAGACTTTGCTGCTCTCTGGACAACAAATATATGAAATCTTCTGTACAAGTCTATTATTGTTTCAATAACAACTAGCAGTGCACGCATTCTCCCTGGGGTACAGAAGTTAATGCTCTTTGAGTTCCTTTGCTTCTGCTAGTCATCAGCATCAAAATTTATACTGGCCTCACAGTATGCTAAATTTAGGCGGGGGGGGTGTGGGGGGGTGTGGGGTGG